TTCCCAGAACCTTAGAAGAAACTCCTGCTCCAGGAAGGGGCACGTAACATGACAGATGTACTTCAGAGCACCAGGTATCAGAAAAAAGCTGTACCACTTTGACTGTTGCCATATCACCTTGTAGCAGAGACTGACTTGGATAAAGTCCCAGATGTGACAGTGCAGTATTTCTGTACTTGAAGCTAAGGTTTAAACTGAAGCATGTGAGAGCAAATATCTGCTGTGAACTGAAAAACAAGAGGATTACATTGCTTATCTGGTCAGGGATACCATGACCTAAAAGGTAGACTGGGTAAAAGTGGTGCCAGCTGATCTGGAGGTGTTGTGACAGCCTGAGTCTCTGTAGCACTTAGCAAAGTGCAGTCTTTGGTTTTCAGCCAGCACTGTAAACAAGAGATCTGGGAAGAAACAAACACACAGCTAAAATTAAAGACAAAGATAGGGAGATCGATATGTAGTGTGGGGCTGCAAGAAATTTTGTTGAGTTTTGTGTAAGGATTTAATATGATGTGGTCACCTCTAGAGGGAAATGAGGCTAGAGCTTATGGCACAGAGTGAATTTAAGATATACCCTGGAGCACAAGGCATTTCTTTGAACTACCCTTTTCTTAGCTCATGCATGTCCCTGGAGCAGAGGTGCTGTTAGGGAAACAGAGGCTAAATGACATTGGATTTCATAAATGAGACAACTGTAGGAACCATGTAATTTGGGTGTGATAATTTTCCCTTCTCTCCCTCCTCCTCCTCCCACACTGCTGACTGTGCAGGAGGCCAGGGGCTGCAGTCCCAGCCCAAAACTGTGCCCTGCCTGCTCTCTCACACTATGGGGCTGAATACATTTCTCTAGGACAGTGCCCTCTCTCACCGATGCAAGCTGGTGGCCCATGTGCTGAACCTCTGCAGCACCAGGTGAGCCCTCAGAGGACAGCAGCATTTCTTAGGAGAGGCCATGGGAGCCAGCTGGGAAGCATGTGTTGCATTGCAAGCAGCAGCAAGGGCCCATCTCCGGGCAGGTTTGGCTGGAGTATCACTGCCCACCAAGCCCACGGAGCCAGATGTGAGCAGACAGTCTGCAGTCAGCCTAATGCTGTTCAAGCTGTAGCAAGCTCAGACTTGGTTGAACAGCTAAGGACATGCCCTAGGGATATAGCTGCTGCCAGTCAAGATGGTTCACCCAAGATGGTGTGGGTCTCTCTTTCTCCCCCATGCTCCACAGGGAGCAGATACAAAGGTAGGGGAGACCTTTGCCATGGCCAGCAGTGCCCCTCAGCTCACTGAACTACAGAAGCTAAACCACAACATATGACCCCATCTACTACCTGGTGACTACATGCAGGGGGTTAGAAAATACTAAACTCCTGGTGAAAAACGCACCAGGCCCCATTTGTTGGCACTGGAAGTAGCATAACAGATATTTAGAGAACTGCCAACATATTGCTAGCTTTGCAGAGAGTCAATAGCCTGCACCCCATAGCCTGACATGCACAGAGAAGTCAGATATGTACCAGATTTCATCAAACAAGGCTGACATATCATTTCCAAACCAGATAGTTTTAATGGGAAAAAATCCCTCTGCCAGAAAACCCTCAGAACATCTACAAACTTCACCATGCAATTTAGTAATATTGGATGAGGGGCACTAGTTCCATGTATTTTGATGATAAAGACTATTTTTGTCCTGCTGCTCTTGCATGAAACAAAAAAAACCAAAACAAACCAAACCAAAACAAAACAAAAAAAAAGCTGGTTCAGGGTAACAGATGCCCTTAGTTTGCAGTTTCTGCTCTTTCATGTTTGATGGATCTGCTGCCAGTTCAGCTGGGGAAGAGTTCATCCATGCTATCTGAATATGGTTTATCAGATTTGTGTCTTTGTGAAAGCCTCATGCTGAGTGCATGACATCTCTGGATGCCTGCAAAGTCATCCTATCTCTAAGCTAAGATTAGAATTTCAAACAAAACTTATTACAAACCAGGATTTCCTGAAAGTGCTGGACACAGCTATAATGTAGATATTTCAGATTCACGTCTAAGCACATTATTTAATCCTTTTCTAGATATGCATCATTGTAAAGTGATATTTACCATAATATCAGTAACTCTTGTGGGTGGAGGGGAAATGAAACAGCAAGAAGGGAGATGCATGATGAGCTGTAAAAAACCTGGACCCAAACCCACCATCAATTCTGATTATTTTTTGCCTGAAAAGTCTGTGTTCACAGCACTCAGACACTATGTTCCTTACAAAATGGGTTAGGAGATATTTTGGGAGATTTTCCCAGCTATTACTTAAATCTCAGACTAAAATGTGCATGTGGCAACCAAGCAAGTATTTAAAAGGGCAAAGGGGAACATTTTTAGTAGCTGTCACTCTCCAGAGCATATTCATACACTGTAACTTGAGGAAGTGGATGCTGTGCTCAAAATCATGCCTCATAATACTTAACCAGGGAAAGGGAATAGTTCTGGTGCTTCTGATCTTCACATCCTGGTGGTCATGGCCCAGCAGGCTTCCTTGAAGCTAATCTCAAGAGAGGAGGAAGGCATTCCCTCCTGTGAGGGGGAAGCTCTTTCAGTATTGAACAGGCAGAGATGGAAAGATGGGATTTTATAAGCACTTTTCTCACAAATACAGTGATGGGTAAAATGATGAATATCTTTTGTTTAGACACACTGGAGTTGTGCCAAGACTCTGTGTGTGTTTGATGGGACCCCTTCCTATCTCAGCTACAAAAAAATCCAGCCTCTGCATGGTGCCCAATTAAAGGGGAGGAAACCTCCAGCAGCTAAGCAGGGAAGAAGGGGGGACTGAGAGGTCGTAGAGGTCACTGACAGCACCAGCATTGGCATAAGTTTCTGTTCCATCTGACCAGCTTGAGGATGGTCCCTCCTTCCTCCCACCTGCCTTCAGTGATGATTTGGTTCCATTTTGCCAACCCAGCTGCTAATCCACACACTAACTGTGTCACACAGTCCCAGTCACTGCCAGCAAGGATCAAGCACACCAGACCTGAGGCATCCCTGGCAGAGGAATGGGAAGGTGAGCCTGAATACAGCCACAGTGGTGGGTTATGGTCTAAGTGGCAAGTAAATAAAAGTGACATTTTTTTATATTTCTGTGTTCCTGTTTTTAAGGCTGTGGATTTCAATAATTTCAGAGGAAACCATGCACTTTTGGAGGCTGCATCAAATGAGTCAGCCCCCTAAGACCAGTCTCTGCCACCCCATTTGTAGCAGAGTAACATCCCGAGTGATGCCAGCCCAGCCCATGAATTGCCATAGCTGGCACCAGTGATGTCGATCCTGCAGACACCCACCCAAGTGACCTTGTGGATGCGTACCCAGATTCTGGTTAGAATCTACAGGGAATTTAGATCCTGGTTTTTCAGACTGGAGTTGATCATCTCCCTAAAGTTAATTTCATTTTTTTAGCAATTACCTAATATGACTGGGGCTTTGAGGCTGTCTCTTTTCTGACTACTCGGTATCTGGTATTAGAAAAGAATAGTGCTAGAAAAGTTCCAGGAATCGCTCAACTATTTTAAGTTGAGCACGTGCATGTGTTCAACAGCGTGGATATCTTCAAGTTGAGGATTACACTGACTGTCAAATGTCCCTTCTTAATTTTTCCAAGACTGAATACTCTTAAAACTTTCCTGATCACAAGCAGGCCTGTCAAGCATTCCTTTCCTTCTCGAGTTTACAGAGAAAGTAAGGTGTTTTGTTCTGTATAAATTTTATAGCATATAGGTCATTCACTTGAGCAATACGAAGAACAGTTTAGAAACCTCCCTACTGTACACACACACATTCTTTGGACAGGGGGGAGTTAATCTGACACAATGAAATCTATGCACTTTGCTCTGTTAAAATATAAATTTAGATCTTTTCATAAAGTTGGTGTACCATTTATTCTTCCTCCTGCAAACCCTAAGACTTCGGAAAAAAACCCCTGCAATTTCCAAGAATGCAAGTTTTTATTAAAACACAAGAGCCCAAACTGTAAAGCTTGACCTGTGCGAAAAAGAATGAAGTTCTGCAGTTTTGCTGGTTTTTGTCATTGTGTATCATTTCTCCTATACCCACCCCATACACAAATACCCATCTGCCAATGCCTGATCATTACAACGGCCCTGACTCTGTGCCCAACAAGAGTTGTGACCCATAAAAAGGAATGTATTTTTTCTTTTCTTGCAGAAACAGGTAATTAAGTTTGTCAAAAGCAGTAAAGGCCATGAGACTGTGGCTTGGGCCCTCCAAACACTTAGGCACTTGCTTTGCCTGCAAGCTGTCCCGGCGAGATAAAGTTAAAAAGGCACAACTCCTGGTTTACCGGAGGAAGCAAGCGGCCGTGCCGCTGCCCTGCTGCAGCCCGGGGTTGGCTTTGCGCACCCCGACAGAAACTGTACGAGCAAACTGTGGGAGCAACCCGTCCCCCTGCCAAACCGGGCAGGCCGCGCCTGGAACGCGCATCACCCCGTGCCGCGGCGGGTGTCGCCCCGCGCAAGGCAGCCGCTGCC